CAAAAGAAAGTGAAGAAAATCCCTTTGGTTCTCCTAGTACACATTGATGAGTGTTATGGCACCTATTTGGCATCCTTTATTATGTTAGTCTGTGGTCCTGTACACTAATGAAATCCTAATACTCTCTCGGACCCTATAACATTTTCTTTCACTCATGTTTCAGAGACTCTTTGCAAGGATAAGTTGTGTATGAACTTGAAGGTATGTGTATTTATGACTTTATCAGTTTATCTATTCAATTCTTGGACTTTGTTGTGTCGGGTGGCGGTGTTTGCAGCATGTAAAGGTCGATAGTGTGGTCTACCTCTACTATGTATGAGGCTAGGAGTTTCCACGGGTTGGCCCACATTTCATAGAGCTTTCTCAAGGGAATGGATTTAATACCATCATAGCGCAGTTATGTCTTAAATTAAGAAAGAGGAGTTTGAATATTTAAATTTGCTACTGGACGTTTTAAGGATATCAAGAAGAAGCTGGCTACTGTCTGCTTCTTTGCCCTCCGGACTTATCGAAAGCATTTGAGTTACCTTGTGACGCATCAAACATAGGTATTGAGGTGTGTTGTTCTAAGATGACCATCCACTTTTCCAGCAAGAAGTTGAGTGAGTCTCAACAATGCTATTCCAAGTGTGGTCGGTAGTTTAACATTGTAGTGTAGGCGCATGCATATGATGCTTAAGTAGACACAAGACTGCCCAATTGTTCTCAAACACCATGTAGGTATCGAAAACAAATTTGTCGACACTTTGTACAGGAAAGTCAATACGATGCAGCCATGCAGGTTATGACCATGCAATAAGATTTGTTCAATTTATTCATTACTATGTTACATGTCAGCACATTGATATTTACGCTTCATTGCCCTAGGTTTCACCACTGTTCATGATTTTCTGTTTAGGGGCAGCATTTGTACATTCCCAACACCTCTCTTCATGATCATTTGATTTGGAGAATGCATGCAAGAGTTGGCCGCCACTTTTGTTAGGATGATACTATTATGTTTGGCTGAGATTGATTCTATTGGGCGAATGCCAAATGTGATGTAGTTAGAGTTGTCTTATTATAGAGTGTGTCAGGTTGCTAAGTGCAGGAAGCGTAACACCGGGTTATACATTTACCTGTACCCTTCATTCCATGGTAGGCTGTTAACAACCTAACATGAACTTTCCTTTGGTCTCTCCTACGTTGACGGAGCATGATTCTGTATATGTTGTTGTGGATAGGTTTCGAATGTGGCACACTTTATTGCATCCAAAAAGATAAACTGATGCTTCCCACGTTGAACACCACTTTCTTAAAGAGGTGATTAGATTATTAAATAACTAATTATAGCTTCCCATGGTGGATTCTTTTCCCTGGTTTTAGTTTGATGTTTGTATCAAGGTTTCAAGAGGCAGCTCCCCCCAGATGAGATTTTGGAGATGCCAGCTGATGCTTGACCCTGAATTCGAGTTTGGGCAAGAATCAAATTAGAAATGGTTTAGGAGATGAAAGTCACTGAATGCTAAAGCCATCTGAAGCCCATTAGCACAAAATCATTGTCTCCCTTATCTTGATCTGACAATTGATGTTATGCCATAAAAATCAACAGCTGTGGATGTGAATTCTTCTTGTATCTTTTGCTTTCTGGGTCTTATTATTTCTCGTTGTATCTTATTAATACTGCCAGAAGGGAGAGGGGGGATGACATATTGGAAGTACAGTTCATGATGCTATAGAATTATGGCTTGCAGTGATTCATTCATATTCATTGCCTTCCCATTCTCATTATGGCTTGCAGTGATTCATTCATATTCATTGCCTTGTCGCAACATTTCTTCTCTGACTACACACGACAAACTCATGGCATGCATTTTGCAGTTAAACCTATTTCTGAAAATCTAATAGTGATACGTGAATTATATATTCTTCTACAGCGAGCATGCTTTCTAGCGACACGTTATAACTTTTGAATTGTTACTGTATTTTTTTTCTTCTTTTGTATTTTCCATTTACTTCCATTCTATCTACAGCCTTAAACGTTTAACCTGACAATGATCTCTCAGGAGAACCATGCCGGTAGAGGAAATCTTGACTATTGATATAAAGCCAGGGTGGAAAAAGGGAACAAAAATTACATTTCCAGAGAAGGGAAATGAAGCACCAAATGTTATTCCTGCAGATATAGTCTTTGTTGTTGATGAGAAGCCACATGATGTATTCACAAGAGAAGGGAATGATCTTATCACAACTCGAAAGATTTCACTTCTTGAAGCCTTAACAGGCTACACTGTCCAACTAACAACACTTGATGGCCGCAACCTCACGATACCCATAAACGCCATAATCCATCCAGGGTACGAGGAGGTTGTGCCAAAGGAGGGAATGCCAATACCTAAGGACCCATCCAAAAAAGGTAATCTTAGGATCAAGTTCAACATCAAATTTCCGACAAGGCTCACAGCAGAGCAGAAAACGGGATTGAAAAGGTTGTTGGCACCATGAAGGACAAAAGAGAGAGAGAGAGAGAGAGAGAGAGAGAGAGAGAGAGAGAAAATGAAGGCTTAGTACTTGTTGTGTATGTAGATATTATACATTTGTTTTTTTTATATATTTATTTTTGCTTGCAATGTTGTTTGTAACGTAGTTTTGAATATTTCCAATAAACAGTTATACTTCATGCTCCAACTTATGTGCCAATCAAAGCCGAGAGATACTTAGATGCACGGTGGTGAAATGCTGGGCGGCGGTTCATCGGATTTCACTCTTTGTCTTTCCAGAGCGTGGATTATTGACGCGTTTGCTCAAATAGCGGTGGACTTGCTTATACACCAGCGGCATCTCGTGAATAATGTCACAGATGGTTGCCAGTCATGTGGTGCTTCTTGGGAGCTAGTATTGAGAATTATTTTGTTTGATCAAGCTGGTGCAACCACCGTTAGGGTCCTGTTGCATATATGGTATTTGGTATGAGTTCAGTTTAGCAAAATCCTTAAAATTGGGTTAGGGTTGATCTTGGTCTGGTTTTTATCCTAAACTGGGCTAGAGTTATTCTATATGTGGGTCATTTAGAAAAGAATTCGTTTAAAGGCTAAAATTTAGCTTAAAAAACCAGGTCAACTCTTGGCATTGTTTTATCTAAACACAAAATAAACAAAAATTGAGTCAGACAAAATAAACAAAAATTGAGTCAAAATAAACAAAAATTGAGTCAGGTTTGAACCTAGTCTAATTTTACGGAGAGCACGGCAAGACACTTTCTCAACACAAGCAGCCTTTTCCAAATAACTTTTCTCTCGCTACATGCTAGCGTTCATTTTCGAGAAAAGGATGGTGTGACTTGGAAATCACGGGGACGACACCCCGAGAAATAATACTCGTTCTGACCAAGTTTATTCTGTGATGTGTAGATAGCGTGGACATCATTTGTGGTCAGAGTTCTCGAATTACAATTTTATTGGAATGACACTCAAATACCCCATCTTGATTGTCGGGCGTGACATTGCTACTAACCATCTCCAGACATTTTTTAGAGCATGTTTTGCAACTTATTTATTATTTATTATAAGTAATTTTTTACTTATAATATGTCAATATGGTGTTTGGTAACGGTTACTTAGTTTACTTATTTGTTACTTAAAAGGTAAAGGAAAAATAAGTTATGATTTCCTAATTTATTTTTCTCGTACTTAAGAAACTTTTCCTTATTCCGGCCAAAAGATAAAAAATGCCCTCCTATTCCTTTTACTTAGTTAAATATTATCTTATTATAGATGATTCACTAGTAGAAAAACGATCAACCTAGACGGAAATTTCCGTCTAGGTTGATTGCAATTCCGTCTAGATTAGGTCATCTAGACGGAATTCCGTCTAGTTTGAGTGGTTTATTTTGCTTCCGTCTAGACTGCTTCAAACTAGACGGAATTCCGTCTAGATTGATCAATCTAGACGGAAGTCAACCTAGACAGAATTCCGTCTGGGTTGGCAACCCAGACGGAATTCCGTCTAGGTTGGTTTTTTACAACCTAGACGAAAATTCCGTCTAGGTTGATTCAATCTAGACGGAATTCTGTCTAGATTGTCTTTTTTCAGGAAAAAAAATTAATTAAAATTTGTATTTCCCTGTATAATTACATTAATATTTGAATACATCCAGAAAATACTGTACACGCCACATTCAACCATCCAATCATAATCAAAATTCATAACAATTCCATTCAAAAACATCTATATAACCAAATCCAACACATTGTACAAATCCAACCATCCACTTCAAAATATACATCAATCAGTTCCGTCTAAAACACATCCAACAACATATATACTAACAATGCCAGTGACTAAGATATGATACACGACATGAATAAATGTAGTGTTATAACAAATAAAACTGTTTATTGGATTAAAAATAAAAAAAACCTCATCCATCGTCGGCGGCGGGGGTATCTCTATCCCGATTACGAGAACGGGTGTTGCTACCTCCAATATCTCTACTCTGAATGTTTAATTGAATAATCATTATGTGGTGTTTGATAACATATTAGATAAAAATGAAATTTAATAAATCATATAAGAAAAAATAATACGGTACCTGAGCACTACTTTGTCTAGCGCCGGAATTATCGCCAATCCGAGCCGCTAATGATCCGTATGACACCACCATACGCGCTTAAGAATAGGCATGCGGCTAAATATTGCTGATAACATACCCCATGAGAATCGGGTCCATCGAGTTCGTCTCGTCAGCGAACTCTAGTCATCTCATTTAATCACCTGAATATGGCCAGCTCCGCGGTCAATTTTGTCAATCATATACGCAGAGATACGGTGCGACAAATGGCATAGCCCTGGAAAACTGCTTGTGGCTGGCCTGCTCGTCGATGTAGTGGAGCGGTGTGGAGCGATGCTGTCGTGACACGGCTTGACACTGCTTATCCAGGTGAAGCTCCCGACACCATTGCAGAGGATATCTTCTTACTATTATTAGGGGGAAATATGAATATTAACTTTCCTCTCAAATTCAATATTTGGTACAACAATATAATAGTAGGATAGTATTCAAATGATTCGATTTTTCACCATCCTTACCTATTATCGACTCCCATCAGGTTCTCTGAATGCGAGATTGAATGTTCTCCTCTGCCACAGATAAGCATCGTGATGTCTGGCTCGGTTTTTTTCCTCCTCCTCGAATGTAGGACAGATGCAGCCTCCTGGATGCCCCTCTCAAATATCCGTCCTAAAAGCACAAATGTATAGTTAATTCAAGATAATGACCATTATTATTTGTAGTTCTCGACTTCCTCGTAATGTTAACAAATAGAATTAATAATACTACTCAAGATAGTATAAGTCTCACCACCTAACTCGCAGATTTGCGTATCTTATCCCGATTCCTCTCATCCCCTATATTGTTCACGAAAAGTACTGATGCCGCTCTGGCCTCAAGTTTATCGTCATTAAGTGATTTCCCCTATCATATTATAATTATGGAGATTCATAATCATCTAAACATTAAATCTTTTAAATCTATAAATGACATATACCGCTCATCGGCTGACAATTAAACATCCTCCAGTATTTGGCGTAGGCAGTGTCGAGCCCATGATGGTCATGCCAGCTGCTTTCTTCTATTTTTCTCAGCCCTTCATGGCATTTATTCTTTAAAAAATTCTTGTAAATATAAAATGAAATAATATCTTAAATTTTATAAACTAAATTTCATGAAACTAACCTTGGCTCGGCCACGGATCGTTGTTTTTTTGTTTTTTTTTGTTTGTTTTTTTTTTTTTTTTTTTTTTTTTTGTTTACTCCCAATTACATGAGGAGAAAACAGTGAAATGAATCTCGTCAACTCCGGTCATCGAGGTTGTAAAACCTCGTGCCAGTCCTCCTCACTACCTGTCATTACGGTTTATGTTTTGATCTCATGCCTTCCATTGTTCGAGGACTGCTTCAACCTTGACATTAACACATAATTCCAAGCCCCCTCCAAAGTCCTCAACGGGCAGAAGCAGTCCTGTTGACTTTACATACAACATGGAGTAAGAATAATTTAATATCAATTTACTAATTATTAATAAAATGAAATCTAAAACAATATGCACTTACCGATAAGCCGGTCCATATGGCCTCGTATGCGGTCCATGCGTAACTTCTCGAAAATAAAAATAAGTTGATAATGGTCGCTCTTACGCACCGAGACCCCAATATCTCCATTCCAATCGGCGGCACTGACGCAAGCAGGACCAAACGGGCCACCTGATGGGAGAAACCTATTCCAGCTAATAACTCTCCCCTCTAATTCTTCTTTGGCCGCAACGTTGTTTAGAATCAGGCTTTACCTCCGCTCACGTCGTCCGCCTCTATGCCGATCCTTCTTAGCACCTACATAATGACAACATAATAATATATCATATTAATATACAAATGTGAAATTAAAAGTATTTATATAATTTAGCATTCGCTATCTTCTCTACTTTCTTTTTGCTGCGAGCTGCAACAGCTTTCCTAGTCTCCAACATAGAAGCATTCCTGAATACCTTCTTCGCAGCA